TTTCACCTTGTCAGGATCAGTCCGCATACCATGCTCACTTAAAATGTGACCCAAGTTAAGCACGTCTTTCTGGTACAAGTGGCATTTCTTGGGATGGAGTTTAAGGTTTGCTGCTTTCAAATGCTTGAATACTTTCTCTAGCCGAGACATTTCGTCATCAAACGTTGTTGTAAACACTATAGACATCATCCAGGTACACTAGGGCTATTCTCCATTGTAAGCTTTCCAGCATTCTTTCCATCATCCTCTCAAATGTTGCTGGAACATTGCTAAGCCCGTACAGCATCACACAGTATTGTCAGAGACCTTGGCCATAACTAAATGCAGTCTTAGGTTTATCTGCTCCAGCCATTTGTACTTGATGGAAATTCGACTTTAAGTCCAGAGTTGAAAACCATCTGGCTCAACTTAGGGCATGAAGAGTATCACCAATTCTTGGCAGTGGGTATGAGTCCTTTTCAGTTATACTGTTAAGATCCCTGAAGTCCACACAGCAACGTTGGGTCCTATCCTTCTTCTGGACTAACATGATAGGAGCTGACCAAGGACTGATTTCTCGACTATCACTTCCTTAATTAGGCCATCCATGACCTACTCCATCTCTTATCACTTTACCGGAGCTATTCTCCTCAGAAGGATTTTTATTGGACGGTGATTGCCTGTGTTTATTATGTGCTATACAAGGTCTGTGCAGCCGAGGTCATGATCTCCTTTTGAAAAGACGTCTGCATAATTCGCCGAAAGTTCCCTAACCTGAAGAGCCTGTGATGATGACAAATATACTATGATCTTCTTATAGAGGTCAGTTAAATGTTCTGAGAGAGGATGTCATTTCTTTATGGTTGTATTTCTTGCCTTAAAATTGACTGGCTCTACCTCCTGGCACATACCCAACAATGTCCCTTCCTTAAGTGTCTGCTCACATTTAGAGAAATTAGCCACTGTTAGGGGTACTACTTGATGACCTGCCACAAACGACCTTCCAATATTCTCGTCTGCTGGCCTGGGTGGGTCTTCCACAAGCATCGGGCTTCCTTTATAGATGTTCTTTTATTCTACCCCAAATTATCTTCACTGACATATTGTAGTTGACTTAAGTGCTGTGACATGCAAATCAACGGATGCAGCAACACCTACCAGAATTTGGCCTTTGTTGTTCCCAAACGTCATTTTATTAAAGTTAAGTACACACTTCCTAGATAGTAAGTAGTCTAACCCTAATATGCATTCGTCTTCAATGTCAGCCAAG